CGTGTAATACCAGTTCATTTTACAAATCAATGACATTTTGAAGTATATTTAAATAATACTTTTATTACGATTATAAACTCTATAATTCCACTTAGAAATAATATTGCACTCTTGCTAAGAAATTAAAATTAGTGTTTGTTTTTTGTTTTTAAATTATGCACAAAGCTACACAAGGGCTATCTGTGCTCTGCCCACCACGGGTATCGAAACCCGGTTTCTAGCTTTGTAATCCGTAGACATACCGCTGTGTCTCTGGGGGGCATAAAATTAGTGAGTGTCTATAGAGTTTAGTTTATTTTGTTATGAATTTCGCGCAAAGCTACACGAGGGCTACCTGCGCTAGCCGTCCCTAATTTAGCGGTGTAAGACTAGATGGAAGGCAGCTAGTCATCACCACCCACAACGAACTTTTGGGCTACTTTTTTTACCAACGAATATTGCGATTGACCGTCATATTATAACGCTCCCACAGTTGAAAGGGCGAGCATGTTTGGTGGGACGAGGATTCGAACCCACGACCCTCAGATTGGGCCCGGCATGGCCAGGTGGTTAGGGCACTCGACTCGCAATCTGCGGGTCGCGGGTTCGAATCCTCGTCACACCAAACATGCTCGCCCTTTCAGCCGTGGGGGCGTTATAATGTGACGATCAATTCCACTATTCGTTGGTAAAAGAGTAGCCCAAGAGTTGGCGGTGGGTGGTGATGACTAGCTGCCTTCCCTCTTGTCTTACACTGCTAAATTAGGGACGGCTAGCGCAGATAGCCCTCGTGTAGCTTTGCGCGAAATTCAAAAAACAAACAAACAAACCCTCAGATTGTGAGTCGAGTACTCTAAACACCTGCCGGGCCGTGTCTATAGAGAAAAAAAGCCACATAATGTTTGTAACTTCTGACTTGTTTCAGCTATTCTTGTAAATGTTTCTAACTAAATAAAACAAAAATTGATAAATTTTACTTTTGGCATTTCTTAATAATTTTTATATTAAATTACTAGAATGTTTTTTTTTTCAGAACTAATAATTTATTAGCTCTATAATTAATTGCTAAATAAATGGCTTTTTTTAATAGTTGGAAATTGTAAAGGGGAATTGTTATAAGCAATTTTGAATGATAATTACCTTGTATTTGATATTTTTAATATAGTACAAGAAACTATCTCAATACAGACAACTTTGGCTACCAAAGAAGTGTACCACATACAAAACGGTGGAAAAGCACTCGAGACAAAAGCCCCTACAGCTTGAACCTCATTAAGGTGTTTCTTCTTGCATTTCACAGCACTTTCACTGAGTTCACACAACCTTAGCCTTTTTCTAGATTACCAAGAACAGTTCTCATTATCGTGAAGCAACCCTTATTGATTGTTCGTGATGGATGCTGTCTTACGGGTAACGTTGGCAAGCTTGGAAACACAAGTTTCGTCGTAGAATAAACTCACATTTTGCAATGCTTACTCTTTCAACAACTGTCTCAAATTTTCTTTTGCACCTTTCGTTCACAACATTTGAAAAGTAATATAAAAAGAAATAAGTAACCTTCACGAAAGTAGAGACTGATTTATGATGAACACAACAAACACAAATATGTGTATTTTCTATTAGTCTAAAATACACTGTTAAACATTTCTATACACATTTTAATATCCGATAATTATCATCAGGTTATAAGAATAATTTTTGGATAACTTATTAAGGTGACAAACTAGAGTTTCTATTACTGAGGAAGGCTGTTTAACTTCATTAATCATAATGATATACAATGAAAACACCATTAGTCATTTTATTTTCTGGGTACATCGTTGTTGTGTATCCACGTTATAAAAATTAAGCTTTAAGTTTTCCCTTGAAATCGTTTTCCAAAATTTCAGTAGACATTAGGATACATTTTTCAACAAAAGAAAATAATATCACAATGAAAAGTCATACTCTTTTTGCCCAATAATATATATGTATGTATTTAAAAAAATGTTTTTTTTAGAATGATAGCCAGGCTTATGTTTAATAAACAGAGGAAGATACAATCATCAAAACAAAGTTTATTAGATGTATATTGTTTTTGTAGTGTTTGGTTGACTAAAACAATTAAAGTTTTTGTGTATATGAAATTTTGATTAAAAAACTTTTGAAAAAGGCATTTTCATAAAGGAGTAAAATATTTCACCACAACATGAAAGAACTTTAATGTTTATGAATTCACTCAGGGTCAGTTTTTCTTTGCATTTAATTAATAATGTTTTGATAACTATACAAGCTATTCCTATTACAGTTGTATCTCTGAAATAAAAATTAACGCAAAAGGCTTTAAAAATTAACGTAATGAAAAAAGCCTTGTAGATAGTAACAAAAGAAGATAAATTTTGAGCTCCACATGTTAAAGGTATTCCTATTAATAAGATATATAAAGAAAAAAAGAATTGTTATCAGGTCTGAATATTTCAATCTGAAGTTATTTTTAATAGATAATACAATTTTTAACAAACTCAAATAAAAATGTATATAATTAGTTTTCACTTACTCTTCTTATAATAACTGCTCATACAAATAACTAAGATAAACATCCACCATTCCGAAACTAAGTCAGGTCTACTAAGTCAGCCTCACGTGGCAAGAACATATTTGTTTTCATGGAAAATGACGTATAAGATTTTACTTCAAATTGTAACCTTGCTATATCCATTATCGATGTTCGTTCAAGCTTTCCGAATTTTCTAATTTTTTGTTTTGAATTGTCGTATAAAATGAACTTTCTTGAGTAGTTAAACAGGAGATTCGATGTGAATATCAAAAAGCATTGTTTTGTTTGACTAAGGCTATTATATTTTTGAAGAACAAAATTTAAAAAGATATATATAATTTAAAAAATCGTTTTCATTGTTTCTAAAAAAAAGCTAAACAAAACTAATTTACAGGATTTAAAAAAATGCCAAATATATCAGTTATATCAGATAAATTTGTATCGAAAACTAATATAATATAATATGTTATAAATAACAATTACAAATTAATTGAAACAAAAAAAGAACTGAATCAAAGCATCGTCCGAGCTATAAAAGTACGCTTTTGTTACACGAAGATAATTACAAGTATAAAGTGTTAAATGATGCCTAAAGGTGTTATCCAAAAAAAACAAACTTTTCAACAGATTTTAATGACATAATTGAATTAATTTATTTAAAATGCTTAGCTTTAAAAAGAAAAATAGAGGCAAAGTATGAAAATACATTTATATTTAACATTAAGATGTTACATGAGAACATGTTATTATTTCGAGCATCATAACTAAGAGATGAAGTTTGTTAGAAAGTGGACTTTCTGGATATTATAATTTTCCAGGTCGAAGCTCACATTGTAAGAGGTGATAGTGAAACAAATGTCACATCCTCGTACGTGAAAGTAATAAATGCTAAATAAATAATATACATCTTTGATAAAATCTGCATGAGACCTACTTCACTATGCAAGTTAGAAATAAGTTTCGCATTGCTATACCAAGGATTATGCTCATATTCGATGACGAGGAGCCCACTTGGAGACTAATAATGGCTGGAGACGGCTTGAATGGGTAATGAAGAAAAACTTTAATATAAGTTTTACTTCATTACCCATTCAAGCCGTCTCCAACCATTATTATGCTCATACTTGTTCTCAGAAATGTATAGAAAAATGGTTTGTCATGATAAATCGCCACTCTAGTCCTCTGATATATTCAGAACGTTTTAATGAATACAGGACACTCGAAAAACATTTGTGTTAATTTTTTGTTTATCATACTTATTAATTTGAAACATATTCCCTCGCTGTATGAGACTGTGGTTAATTTCAGCTGTTAATTTTCAAAACATGTATTCGCCTACAGTAAACCTTTAGTAAGAAACTAATTTCGTTAGTATTAAATAGTGAAGAATAATAAGATAATATTCTGTATGCGTTTAAAACTAACATATGCAGTATGAATGAAAATATAAACTTATGTTTTAATTGGAATCTATTACATAGATATTTGACTTAAAAAAGACTTACAAGATCACTTTTAATAGTGTCTGTCGTAAAACATAGCTATTTTTGTACTTACTGTAGTTTCATATGTATTCATGTTTGATATCGCTTAACTCTAAGTATCAGCATGTAACAACCGTCGTGAAAAAGTAAAACTTTTGGTTTCTAAGTAATGTCATTTACTCTCTTCATTTATAAAATAAAATTAATGTCATGCTTTAAGTTTTAATGTAAGCTTCCAATTACATAATTAATGCACAACCTTTTTAGATATATTTTTATATTTATAATTATTTGCTCGAGGGGTCTATAACACTGTCCAAAGAATAACTCGCTTCTCTTCAATAATTGACTCCTGTCGCAACACGTTTGCTAGTGTGCAGATCAGGTAGAGTGTATATATTTGTTTAGAATAATTAAAATATGTATTACACTCGCATTATTTAGCATCTACAGCTTCTGTCAGATAATATTTTAGTACTAGCTTTGCAGAAAGTTTGCAGAGACGTTGAATTACTTATGTTAACACAGGTGTAAAATTAAATATTTACAGTGTAAACGGCTTCATTATAAACACCCAAAGTGTAGTATCATGTATTATAACGAGTTAGATATTACATGTGTGTAGACTTTATAATGACAGGGACATCGAACGCTAGAAAGACCTTCAGTACGTGGAAAATAAATTATCCATTTGTCTTATAAGAACCTATATGGCATCAAAATCTCTTCAGCTTAAATCATTATCTTTTTATTATACCTAGAAGTAAAGCCAATATTTCAATAGTGCTACACAACGATTCGTACTTTACAACAACATTTGTCAGTTTATAATTTTTTTTAGGTTTTAATACAAGAGTTAAAAGCATCACACATGTCCTTAAAATGTTAGTAGATGTAAAAAGTATATATTATATGCAAGATAGAAAAAAACAAAGAAAATAAGCATTTCCTTCTGACTGGGCATTTTAATACAACAATCTATTTAATACAACATTACAATAACGACATATATCTTCCAGTAATGAAATACATTTTTCGAAATTCTGATACTTTTACTTTTGAGGTCAATACTTACTTTTATAGTTTCCTCACAAGTTAAAACCATATTTAATATATATATTTATATAAGATACGCGTGTTTCTGAGAATCGAAAACTTGAAACTCGGATATAATAAGAGATAATACAACAACGTAACAATAATACGTCAAATTCAGAAACACAAAAATTATATTATAAGTACAGAACACATCACTATGAAAAGAAATGATTGTTTTATTCCAGTTGATGGAGCTGAAACGTTTCGCCTTTGGTCGTGGGACTTTTGGTTGTCGTAGGGGTTCTATTTGCAACATTGGGGCGACTTGAACCAGCCACACTACGATAAGGATAAGGGATGCGTAGATCCAGCTTGGGACAAGACAACATTCTCTTGAAGGCACATCGAAACTTAATAGACATGGCGTTGTAGAGGATAGGATTGATGGCGCTATTGATGTAGATCATCGTTTTACAGAACATTAGGAACCACAGTTCCATGTAGCGTCGTTTGGCGAATGAGTTGTAAACAAGAAGAACGCGGTAGGGCATCCACAGCGTTGCAAATACGGCCACGACAACAGCTAACATCTTAATAACCTGCAAGTATAGAAAAAGTAGGGATATAAGGCCCTTGCCAACATCTCTATAGCTTGGTAAATAAAATATAAAAGTGTAAAACTATGATAAAAATTACAACAAAGATAATACAGATATTACAAATATCTTTCAGTTTAATCGAACGGTGTGATTTTTCTATATGAAAAACATACTTTTTCATTGTTATAATAACGGTTGTATTAAACGCATTTTTTGTTGAAAGAACAACTTTTAACGCATTGTTTACCGTAAATAGCTTATTTCATGATTAATTAAGAATAAATCATTAATAGTTGTGTAGAAAGTGGCATGTAATTTTGATTAAATTTCTCCAACGTGAAGGTTGGTTACTTTTTTTAACGTATAAGCCAGACTTTTATTCAAATATACCTTTAATAATTACACTTTTAAGTCCTAAAGTAATTAAATTTCCTTCATTGTTTAATATTTATTACGCGTATACAATGAGGCTGAGCAAATATAGAGCTAAAAATTATTGTAAAATGTACTTTTTATAATTCCTAGAAAAATAATTTAGATTTACTGATACATTTTCAAGTTATTTTGAAGCTACATTTAAGTAAACTATAGTCTTAGTGTCATAAATCAACACCTAAAAATTGTGAAATCTAAAGTTTCTTAACATTACTTAAATGAGGATTGAGAATTGTGCTATAACTAAAGCTTGATTATCTAATGTACTGAAAAAACGTATGACTTTATGAATTTAATTTACTCATATTTTTTCAATATTTTAATTTCACATGTTAGTAGCACGACATGAGCAAATCTATACTTGTGAAGAGCGTGAAGAGATAATTAAACAAATAGCATTAACTAAGTTAACCACTGACAATAATTGACAATATACACATGTTTTACTGACATAAAATAAGTAAAAAAAACAAACTTGAAGGGTGTTTATTCCATTCGGTTTTTTGTGTTTGCCACTTTTTAGTGTACTACCCTTTTTCATTAGTGTTAGTATTTTTGATTGTTGACAGAACTTCTACAGTAAAGTTTGATATCTAGAAGTTAGGATATACATGAAAAAAAAACATGTTTTCTGATATTATAAATAGTATTGTAGTTTTTTATTAACAATAGATACTCATTCTCTAGTTACACAAAAAAAGAAAATACCATCCAATATTATTAGAGAGTCAAGACTATCATTCTCAAACACTCAGACGTTTTTATATCCTTGTTGACAAAAATATTTTATTTCATATCGGTTCAAATGCTTCTTTTGAAAGGATCGGTGATTCAAATAAGTTGTGTTTTATGGTAATATGATAAGTTTGTATTTATGATCATTAGATTTATTTGGTTTTAAGACTAGAATTAGAGAATTCAGGATAGATTGATTATGAAAGTGATAAGTAAAAAATATGAAGTAATGGATTTCATTTTCATATATATTTGTTCATATCTTTTAACTTAATATTATTGTTGGTTCACTCAAGGACTTTAATTCTGTTATTATTATTATTATGTTCATGTTTGCCGATGGTTCAAGCTCTGGCCCCTTCTAGTGGCACAGAGATAATTCTACTGGCTCACGTCGCTAAAAATTGGGTTTCGATACTCATGCTGGGAAGAGCATAGATAGCTCATTATGTAGCTTTGCGCTTAACAACAACGAAGCCAAAATCAAACTTTTACTAGTCAATTAACGCCCTTGTAAGTACTAATTAAAGCGCAATAGTAAATAGTACAAATAAACCATATACAGAAAGCCAAATCATCTTTGCTTTCTTTTGTCAAACAGGTCTTGCGTTCATTAACGTTGTGTAGTTTTACAGTTATAGTATAGTTTGTTTTTATCATATAAACAATTTTTTTGGTAATTCGGAAATTCTAATGGCGCACCAAGACTCATGATGTTTGTCACATACCATCTTTCAATGAGAAATACAATTTAATGAATTTTAAATCCAATTTGTTGTTCGAACTAAATGTTATTTGACGCATATAAGTACTGAAGTTACGCCAGTTCTATCTTTTCATGAAAAACAAATGTAAGGTTCTCTATTAGCGTTGTTTTCGCTTTTGGAAATCAAATAAGATAGGTAATACTTTATGTTTCATTTCAACAGCGACAAATACGTATTCATAGCAATATGAAAAAAAAACAAAAACAAAGATAACAGCTGATAACATCGTGCATTACAAGACATGACTTTGCAAAGGAAAAAAAAAAAGATAAACAGACCTATTCTTGTACTACTAACCCTTTCAAAGCCGCAATAGCGAAATGTTGACTGAAATAAAAAGTGTTTTTTATTATTATCTAGAGAATAAATATTTTTTTTTTAATTTTATTGCCAGTATTTAAATAATTTTGTGAGATCTACAGTATAAAGCGGCTTGTGTCTAAATGTCTGTATGACTGTCCGCAATCAAAATTTTCCTACTTCTTAAGCTCTGATCACCGAGAAACTTTCAGGGATTCGTAGGTACATACCATAAGAATTCGATACCCCTTACATTATTAATTTTATAATTTTTACGAGTTCGACAGCCATTTCTATTTTCCTCTTATTACTGCCTTAGTACCTACTTCCAGATCTATGATCGCCATGAAACTTTAAAGGGTTCTTTGTTTATTTCCTTATTTTTACAAATTTTACAGCCATTTCTATTTTCCTCTTATTACTGCCTTAGTACCTACTTCCACATCTATGATCGCCATGAAACTTTAAAGGGCTCTTTATTTATTTCCTTATTTTTATAAGTTTTACAGCCATTTCTATTTTCCTCTTATTACTGCCTTAGTACCTACTTCCAGATCTATGATCGCCATGAAACTTTAAAGGGCTCTTTATTTATTTCCTTATTTTTACAAATTCTACAGCCATTTCTATTTTCCTCTTATTACTGCCTTAGTACCTACTTCCAGATCTATGATCGCCATGAAACTCTAAAGGGCTCTTTGTTTATTTCCTTATTTTTACAAGTTTTACATCCGTTTCACTTTTCTTCCTTGCTAAGTCTTAATACGTACCGTACGAACTTTGATCACTACGAAACTTTCTGAGGTTCTTTTATGCAACCCAGAAGGATTCTATATCCTCTAACTTTATTTGTTTAATTTTTACATTTTCACAGAAATATCAACTTTCCCCTCTCGCTACTTTCTGAAATCTGATCGCCATAAAATAAAACTGGGCCCAGTAGTTAGCCTGCCTGATTATCCAAGAATTCGTGTCCCGTTGACAGTAAATATGTGCTCATTTTTATGAGTTCTTGGTCATTTCAGATTTCTCTTGCTATTTGTTTAAACTTGCAATGGACTGGCATCCCGTCCAGAGGAATGTGTCATCATTTTCATCTGGTTTTAAAGGCACTGCAAGGAGTAACTTACCAAGTTGTGCCTCTTAAAAAAATCGTCAGTAATTTTTTCGTAAAATTGAAAAAAATCTTAATAAAACTGAATATTACAAAATATAAAAAACGTATAATTTGTGGGAAATTTTATTCCTTCAATAATAAAACCAATTTTCGTACAGATTTGAAAGCTAAAAAAATTAATGTCGTGCGTAGCGCAAGTACTATCACTAGCGGTAATATCTCGCATCTGATAACTAATAAACTGCCTTCTGATGAAAATATTTTTAAAGTATTACGTTAATTTGTTATAACCGTTCAGTCATGGTGGAATCTATATGGTCAAGTGCGCATATATATATATATATATCAACTTTCATACATAATATAGAAATAGAAGACAATATATTTTTGTCTATTTTCTCATTGTAATTATCTGTACTGTACTTTTAAAATCTTAAAATATAGCAATTTAATTATCAAGTGCGCATATATATATATCAACTTTCATACATAATGTAGAAATAGAAGACAATATATTTTTGTCTATTTTCTCATTGTAATTATCTGTACTGTACTTTTAAAATCTTAAAATATAGCAATTTAATTATAATTGTTATGTTAGAGACACGAATGTTACTATCCATCCTTAAAAGAATTTATCCAAAATTAGAGACACCCGGTGGGTTAGCGGTAAGTTTACGGACTTAAAAGGCTAAAATCCGTGGTAGACATAGTACAGCTTTGAAGACAAGAACGACAAAAACCAAAATTATAACACGCTTAAATGTTCCTAGAAATAATAGAAGCGTTTTTCTACTACAAAATGCTATTGTTACTTGCTTGAAGTGAATAGTAGGCAGTAAATAAATATAATCAGGGTCTGACGAGGTAGGTCATTTACTAGTTATGAACTATTATGAAACGTTTTTCAACGGAATACATACAATAAAATACAATGAAAAAAATGCACTTTCTGGTTTTCCTTTACACATTTAAATCGCGATAAAAAAACACTGAAAACTTTCAACAACAGAGTTGTGATTGTGAAACCGATCTGAATTCTTTTTGAAACCTTCAACAAGATGGTAATATGGATAATTCCTCTTTGGTGTTCTTGTTCATGAACAACGTTAGAAGTAAAAACAATATAATGCTTTACCAGCAACGACATCATTGACATGGCAACGTCAGCCACAAGGAACACGAGATATTCAAATACATCAAACAACAATTCGTGTGGCTTAAAATAACATATTTCGTGCCTCCTTAGACTTGTCAAACAAAAAAAAAGAAGGGATTTGGAGTTTTGTTGTGCATATGTGTTTTGTACGAACAAGATTAATTTTATTATTTTTTATTTTGTTATTCACAAACATCAATAAGTATTAGTTCGTAATCCTGGTAGCCCTTTCTAAATAACTAATATATCAGTTCATTTATACTATGCACTGCTCTTTTTCACATTAGGCCCCCAGTGACACAGCGGTATGTTTGCGGATTTATAACGCTAGAATTCTGGTTTCGATACCCATGGTGGGCAGAGCACAGATAGCCCATTGTGTTGCTTTGTGCTTAACTTCAAACAAACAAACAAATTTGTTCACATAATACAATGTTTGACCCTTCTAAATACTTAGTGTTGTGCTCTTGTGCTTACAGATACTATA